ATAAACCTCATCAATCTTTGACTTTTGTCTTCTGGGTTTCCCAGTTGTTATTCTGTCTCTCACAGCTACAATAAACCTACCATTAAAATTGTGGACTAGGCATTTCTTCATTAGAGGGCAAAAAAACCAAATTTAGCGGGGGATCAAATACTTTCCCCCCTCACTCTATTTGTTTACACTCACACACACGCCTGGCTCTGGTTTGGAGGAGGCGTGAGAGACGGAGGCTCTTTTCTTCTAGAATGGCATTTCCACGGCACCTCCTTTCCTCCCAGGAGCTCCTCCTTCCACAACAACCTTGCCAGGCTGGCCGCTTGCCTTTCACCCCCTTTCCAGCACTGCGTGGCTTAGTGTGGCAGCACCTGCCCTTTGGAACTCCCCGCCTCTTGCAATAAAGCGCGTGCCTCTGCTAGACGCTTTTGTGGCACCTGCTAAAAGCATTAGGAAGCTGAAGTAATTTTAATCTCTTTTAATATTTTAGCTTTTCTGTGTTTTAAAGCAGGGTTGTTAATTTTTATTGATTTTATTGCTGTGGTGGTGGTGGTGTTTTTTGTATTGGTAAACAACTTTTCAGGTTGTTTAAAATAAATTTTATGAAATAAATAAACAATAAATATAAATAAAATAGCACAAGCCAAAACACAATGCATCCTGTAGATTTAAATAACTGTCCACAGTGGCCGACTTGTTATCAGAGGCCCAGAATCCACAATCCTTTGTAAGAAAATGTGAAATAAAGTCAAAACATTTTTGCAGACAAAAAATAGAGGTCAATATTGGGGAGGTGACAAAAACTTTTCCACACCAGGCACCCCCTGACCTTGTTATGCCACTACCCGGGGTGCAGAGAGGGGCATGGGGGTCCCTGTTCAGATCATGCCTGGTGGGGGCGGAGACCCCCAAGTCAGGGAGCGGAGGGTCCTCCCTTGTCCTCTCTGCCAAGCCAGGGAGGGGCTAGTTCACAGGAGTGAAGAAAGACAGTCCGGTTACCCTAAAAACCCTAAAACTCTTTGTGAATCCTCCCCCCCCCCAGCCAGGCCTCCAAGCCTCGCCTCAGGCTCTCTCAAACTGCACTCTCAAAGCTTCCCCCCCCCCTTCTAAGGCTAAAAGCATTAGCTAAGCATATTGCTCTTGCTGTAACTAAAAGACTGAAGCGAAGGTGCAGAACAGAGTCCTTTGCTTCTCAAAGCCTTTTTCTTTCTAAGGCCAGTGGCCTTGTTAAAACCAGATTGCAGCTTTCTTACAGGAGAATGAAACATATCTGAACACTCTGAAACCCCCTTTGGTTTCTCACCCCCTTTTCCTGGGAACAGTCCAAAATAGTCCCAAGACAGGAACTTTCTGTTCATGCTCAGGAGACATGGGGCAGAACTTTTCATGAGGAGGAGAAAGGGGAGGGAACTGGTAGGGGAATATATGCTATGTGCAAATGGCTGTGAACTCGTGCTTGTTTGTGAGTTATCACACTTGCTCCTTCTACCAGTTCATGGATGGTAGAAATAAAGCTTTTTCTCCGAAACTATTCCTTGGGTGTCTGTTGACTCCCATTTTCCCTTTCCCGGGCGCAATATTTTTCCCACCTGAGGGCAAAGCCTCATAAGGCCACAGGAGGACTGCAGCTGTTCTTCCTTGGGATCCAGATGCTGCCTTCCTTTTGGGGGAGGGGGATTTGGGTAAATAAAATAAACCCCCTTCAAATTGAGGGAAAAGTCACCTTTGTGAACAGAGGATGTAGACAGAGGGGAACATTCCCACGTGGGGGGAGCACAGGGAGAAGAAAAGCCCGTCTGCATCTTCACAACCGGACCACTTCCTCTGTCCCAGATGCAACAACACACGTCTCTCCCCTTTTCAGGCTAAACAAGTAGACAAACTAATGTGAAAGCAAATTTCAGGTGTATCCTCAGGAAATGCTAAAGCAAGGATAGAAGACTCCTTCTCCCAACCTTTTCGGAGAAATGAGGGATTATCAGTCACTGTGTTACCGGAAAAATCTGAGGGCTCCCTTGGACAAAAAGTAAAGACACCAACCAGGATAACTTGGAGCAAAACAGCAGCCTGTAGGCTTGGCCTTGATTGAACTGTTGCAACAGGGTGTTCCCCTCACTTGCAGGAGAGAGGAAAGACCCAGAAAGATGGTCTGCAAGACCTTATAAAAACGTTTGAAATTCCCATCCTCCAGGTCCAGCCCACCCCCAGAAACATCATGCATACATTACAGAAAGGAGGGGTTGACATCATGCATACATTACAGAAGGGGTTGACATCATGCATACATTACAGAAAGGAGGGGTTGAGGGAGGAGTTGTGGTGGTAACCTGAGTGTCCTGTCACCTGGCTGGTTCCTCCTTTCCCCCTCCCCATGAGACACTTCCAGGAGACAAAGGGGAGTTTGCAGTTTCCTGCCCCCAGAAGGAAGATCTGATCATTGTCCTTTGTTTCAGTCCATGCTGAATCCACTCCCATATGCAAGTTCTTTGTGATTTTGATTGTCTTCTGTCTGGGATTATCAGGGTTGACATAGCAACTGGGCAGGGCTCCTGTGGATGTGCTGGGATGGTGAAGGGATTATGGCTGACAAGAACCAAGCCACCCCCCTCTGATAGTCCTTGTCATATGGAGTAAAATAAAAATGGAACAGTGCAAATCCGATGTATGGTTGATTTTTCTATGAATTTATAACGGAAATGTGGCGTATGTAGTGTGTGAGTGTGAGTGTGTGTGAAGTTCGTACAAACAGAATGATTGGGGTGGGGGGGTTCCTGCTACAACTGGATAGCTTGTACCACTGACAGAGGACATGGAACACATAACATCCTTTCTGGCTCACTGTAATAAAATTCTTACCATCCTGATAGATACTGGTAAAACCTTCTGGAAAAATCCTAGCTGAGCGTCTGTGGGTTTTGATCCAGAAGAAATGGAAATTGGTGCTGTCTCAAAAGAGGCTAGTTCTCTCAAGCTACCCTCAGCCTTTGGGAATCTTGTCACAATCTTGTCACCTCTGGAGTTCGTAAAGGGGAGATATTCCTGGTGCCCTTAATCCTGCTGTTCCGCCAGGGAAGCGGGGCTGCGTCCAAAGCATGGAATGGTGGAAGTACTCAGGGACGGGAGCAGAAAGCGAGGGAAGCACCAGGCCCCCATTTCTAGGAAGGGGAACATCGGCCTGAAGGGGAGCAGCTGCTTTGGGGCAAGCGGAGCTGGAGAAAAGCTGGGCCTGTCCTGCTGCGCTTCAGGCCCTGACAGCCTCCAAGTCCAAGTGTAAGTTGACTTCGCCCCTCCATTCACCGCGCGAGGAGGCCGTCCCGGAGTTGAGGCTCCCACGGGGGCCAGAAAGAGCAGAGGCCATGTTGGGTCAGGGCAACCGGACCTTCTATGTTTGGAGCGGGAGGAAGGGCCATCTTGGATTGTGCCTGTCTGTTATTGATACGGAAAGGAGGGGGGGTACCTTCCCGCACCCCTCCACTGCCCACCAAAGGATCAGAGGCGATGACCTCGACGGCGCCCAGCTTTGCCCAGGCCCCTAAGCCCCACACCGTGACACAAGCACCACACTATACCCCTGGTCCTTTAAATAAGATGCCTATCTCTTTCTCTATACGGGCAAAATAAGCCCACCATCTTTCTCTAAGCCTCCTTCCCGCTCTATCTCTATCATGGGTTGACCGTATCAAACTGCGCTCCCATCCGTTTCAATGGCCGCATCCCAGCCAATCAGAACCGTGCATCCGCTCTGCAGAGTCAGCTCAGCGAGCCCCTGCACGCCTCATTTAACCTCTTGACAAGCCGCTGACGGCTCCCCGCTGGGAGAACAATGGAATCGAAACTCGTGGACTCGTAAAAGTGTCAAAACTGGCAACAATGTAACCATTTTATTTCCGACTTCAATCATTGCTATACGAATGGACTAGAACAGGCGAAAACTTCTTAAATTCATATAAAATCAACCACAGCTCCGATTTCCTTGGTTTTGGTGTCAATCGACTCAGTTCCCTCAGGACTCCATGGTGCTACCCCTGCCTCCATAATCCCCGAAGCAGCAGGTCACGTACTCAGGAAGACCCTAATCCTGTCAGATCGTTCTGCCGAGCCCTTCCTCCGGGCAATGCCGGTGGCAGACGATGCATATCTGGACTATTGTTTCATCATCACCGGTACTCAGGAAGTGTTTATCTTTGCATATCTCTCACTCTGCATACTCCCCCTCCCTTCCCCGAAATGCTAATCCGTGAAATCCCACCTTTCTGTAATATATTCATGATGTCACCTGTGTAAGCCAACCTATTTCTAATGTATTCATGACGCAATAATGATGTATTCCGCACTGTATTCTGGGACATGGAGGGAAGTTTCAAAAACTCCTGTCACCCCCTACTCGGGGTTCAATCTCGCCTTGAACCTGTTGCGCAATAAACTCGGATCTTCTGTAGTTTGCGCCTGCGTCCGGCTGAGCTCATTTTTCCTCCGCAGGGACCCGCGGACTTGGTCCGACGAGCTGGGTGGCAGAGTAACCCCGCACCCAGATTTTCCGTAACAGTTGTATACACATCTATCTATCTATCTATCTATCTATCTATCTATCTATCACCTACCTACCTACCTACCTAATATATACACCCCCCTGGTTCTCGTTTGGAGGAGGAGTGAGGGACGGAGGCGCTTTACTGACAGAATGGCACTTCCCTGGCCCCTCCTTTCCTCCCAGGAGCTCCTCCTTCCACAACAACCCTGCCAGGCTGGCCTCTGGCATGTGGCCCCCTTTCCAGCAGGCGAAGCTGCAGGGGCCACTCACTTCCTGGCCCCCCCAAAATGGAGGCGGCTTTGGACCCTGGATGAACCTGAGAGGAGCCTGGAGGGGGGCAGGGGGGGCCTCTCGCCCCTTCCCAGACTTGTCCGCCATCCATTTATTACTACTGTTTCTTAAACTTAGGCCCCGCAGGGCTCTGGCACCCGGCACAGTTATTTCAAATGATCTCAAACCCTAAAATGGATTGACAGGTAACTGACAGGCGTAGATGATCTCTAGAGATATAGGGAGTCTGCCGGATGCCCCCCTTGGTTGGGCCTGTGATGGACAGCAGAGCCAGGCCAGTCAGCGGACTTCGTCCCTCAGAAATTCTCCCAGGGGGCGGGAGCCTCGCTCTGATTGGCTGCCAAGCCAGCGGGGGGCGGAGCCAGCCCTTTTGGCGGGAAAAGGCAAGGCGGCTTTTCTGAGGGGGAGCTTGGAGGGGAAGGTGGGGGGAAGGAAGGGAGACCCCCAAGAAGGAGGGCTGAGGGGGCCCCCTGGGTGTGGGGGGCGGAGGGAGACCCCCAAGAAGGAGGGCTGAGGGGACCCCCTGGGTGTGGGGGGCGGAGAGAGACCCCCAAGAAGGAGGGCTGAGAGGACCCCCTGGGTGTGGGGGCGGAGAGAGACCCCCAAGAAGGAGGGCTGAGGGGACCCCCTGGGTGTGGGGGGCGGAGAGAGACCCCCAAGAAGGAGGGCTGAGGGGACCCCTGGGTGTGGGGGGCGGAGAGAGACCCCCCAAGAAGGAGGGCTGAGGGGACCCCCTGGGTGTGGGGGGCGGACTGAGAGGGGGAGCGGAGGGAGACCCCCAAGAAGGAGGGCTGAGGGGACCCCCTGGGTGTGGGGGGCGGACTGAGAGGGGGAGCGGAGGGAGACCCCCAAGAAGGAGGGCTGAGGGGACCCCCTGGGTGTGGGGGGCGGACTGAGAGGGGGAGCGGAGGGAGACCCCCAAGAAGGAGGGCTGAGGGGACCCCTGGGTGTGGCAAGGGTTAAGAGGAGCGGAGCTGGAGTCCTAGAGAGGACGGGAAGGGGAGGGGAGGGGGCAAGGTCCTCCATGGCTAAATTCCCCCCTCCCCCTCCCTCCCTGCTTTCTTCTCTCTCCTTTGCAAAAGCCCCTCCTGGACTCGGGTGAGTCTCCTCTCTCTCCCCCCTGAGGGTGCAATGGGGAGAAGGGGGTCCCAGGGGGGCAGGGAGGGGGCGTGGGGGTCCCTGCTCAGATCATGCGCGGTGGGGGGAGACCCCCAAGTCGGGGAGCAGAGGGTCCTCCTTTGTCCTCTCTGCCAAGCCAGGGAGGGGGGAAGATCGCAGGAAATATGCAGCTCTGCTCTTCCTATGGATCCAGATGCTGCCTTCCTTTTTGGGGAGGGGGCTTTGGGTCAAGGAAATAAACCCCCTTCAGAGGGAGGGAAAAGTCACCTTTGGGAACAGAGGCTGCAGCCAGAGAGGGACATTCCCACGTGGGGGAGCACAGGGAGGAGAAAAGCCCGTCTGCATCTCCAGACCACTTCCTGTGTCCCAGATGCAACAACACATGTCTCTCCCCCATCATTTAAATACACAACAAAATTGCTCCATTAAGATACTGAAATAAGCATGAAGGAAATGAATAATGTTTAAACAATGCAGCTATTAAGAGGCAGAAAAGAACAGAGCAAGTGTAGAAAAATATCATCTTTCTTCTCCCTTTTTCCCTTAGGGTCCGGTGTGCTTTGAAGACGTAGCTGTTCCTTTCACAGAGGAGGACTGGGCTTTGCTGGATCCTGACCAGAGAGCTCTGCAGAAGGAAGTCAAGGAGGAGAATCCTGGGATCGTGGCCTCTCTGGTAAGGCTCCCTGCTGGATCATGAGATCAGTTTTGAAATTCCATACAGATCTCTGTAGGACAAACCTCCTCTCTTTTGAGGGAGCCCCATAGCGCCACCTGCAGCACCTGAGATGTTAACACACCCACAACTCTCCATAGGAGATGCATCTCCTGTTCTGCCTGGGAATATTCTTCCACCAGTCCTGCCTTTTCCAACCATGAGGAGGCTGCTCTGAGCTGCCCAGGCCTTCTTCCATGTAGGCTTCAGAGATCTCAGGGACATGGAGGTACATCCTGTCTAATTTTCTGTTTCCCTTTCTGCTTCTGTTTTTGGTTGAGCAAAGAAATGACTGAGCTTGGAGAAGGAGCGGATTCCATGACTGAGCCAAATTAAATCCATCCCTGGAAAGAGCCAGGCTTTTCGAATCTCCGGGTCCCATAAATACGTTAGCTATTACCAGCCAAAAAAGGCAGTAACTCCCTTCCCTTCTTCCTCTTTCACAAACATTCATTTGCATTCTTCAGTCATTTCAGGCTCAGTTTCTTTCTCAGGCTAGGATTATTATTATTATTATTATTATTATTAAAGATATCAGGAAACTTGATGAGGAATTAATGTTCTCTCCCCAAGTGTCACAGACCCTCCTCCAAAGAGAGCTTCTCTGAAGAAAGCACAAGCAAAAATTACTCAATTTTACGTGAATAAGAAAATGAGGAGGTGGCTAAGAAACAGCGGGAGCCAGATCCTATTACTGACCTTATAGGATCTCTCAGCAGCTCTAAGGATGAGCAGAAAGAGGTTTTGGGCCCAGGCAGCTCAACTGCTAAGTCATCTCTGGCACTGAGACCAGGAGCTCAAGCGACTCAAGGCCAAATCCAGGCTAAACAAGTAGAGGAACTAATGTTAAAAATTACAAAATAGTGCAACATAAAAAAGTTGACTTACAAAAACTTTTTAACCTGCTTGAGTGTACCTCTTGTCCAGACAGAAGACTTTCGAAGTTTGTACTCTACTGGAATCTGCACACCAGATCCTTATATCAATATGAAACAATATGCAAGGTTATCAAATGGTCTGATGTCCTGTCAAAAGCCAAAACCAAACCAACTAGGGAGAGGGTTTTCATAAAAAGGAATTGGAAATGGGTGCTGTCTCAAAATAAGCTACTTCTCTCAAGCTACCCTAAGCCTTTGGGAATCTTGTCACAAGAGGAGCGTAAAGTTTGTGAAGATGGTGTATAAGCACAGAGAATATCTAAGGAGGAGTGGTGTATTAGTCTCAAGATTATTCAAAAGTGTGGCATCACCAGCTCCTCTGCTTCCACATTCAGCAACACCTCCAAAAAGTCCTCAATCCAAGGCGGACTATTGTCCTTTAGTTGACAAAGATTCTGCAGGTGACAATCCAGACTAGCCAGCTGACCTGGACCCCAAGGAACCCCCTAACTCAAAGACCCCGGGTTCCTTGCACTTGACCTTGCTGACAGAACTGAAAAGAATGGATTGCATGCCTTCTGTGCTCTGCCATAAGTAGCCCAGAATGAAATATTCTCCAGATTGGACCTCTGACGTTCCTGCCTAATGAGTTTGAAGAAGGAACACAAGGGCTCATGCAAGTAGAACTTGGCCCTTTGTGCTCCAGATCCAGCCCACCAGATATTCCAGCATGAGTTGAACTGATGGGCTGAAAAGCCACCTCCCCCCACCAGCAGGTTAATGAACCCTCTTTCCTACCAATTGGAGATGAAGAGCTTCCCTGAAGATTTGGTCCCCATGCAAGAGGCAAATATGGCCACAACACCTGCCTGGCTTGCAATGAGAGAGCTCAAAGATTGTGAACTGGGCTCTGCATACAAAGAACCCAGCATGCAGGCACCTACAGCACATGTACAGTGGTACCTCGGGTTCCATATGCTTCAGGTTACAGACTCCGTGAACCCAGAAATAGTGCTTCAGGTTAAGAACTTTGCTTCAGGGTGAGAACAGAAATTGTGCTCCAGTGGCACAGTGGCAGCAGGAGGCCCCATTAGCTAAAGTGGTGCTTCAGGTTAAGAACAGTTTCAGGTTAAGTACGGACCTCTGGAACGCATTAAGTACTTAACCTGAGGTGCCACTGTACTAGCTACTCTGCTATTTTCTGCCCATGCTCTGGGGTTGCAGTTTTCAGGCTTGGGGACAGGAAGGTGACTGGTTTTTACACCAAGTTCTGTCCATAAGCCCCAATGAGTTCAATGGGATCAACTCTCAGGTCACTATTGTGCAGACCCTGCCATCCTTATGAAGTGGGGTGATTAGCAAACGGGAAACTGCAAGGACTGGAGATGTTTACAAATGGGGCTTCTGATGAGAAGGGGCTGCCCCATTTGTGCTTCTCCAGGGGCAGGAGAATATCTAGGGCAGGAGAATCCCTGCAGGGCCTCTGAGGCTCCCTTTGCTTCTTCCTCTCTCCCAGGACCCTGCAGCTTCTTTTGGCTCCTTGACTCCTCAGGAAGGATGAAAGAGACGGATCCTGCAGAGCTAGCGAGGATGGAAGGAGGAAGATGGACGGTTGACCTGGTCAGGCTTGTCTCCTGCATCCCTCCCCACAACCTCTGAGCGTTCCCTCCCAGGGACCTCCGAGAGATCTGGTGAGTCCCAGGGGAGGGGAGATGGGGACCTGGAGGGATGGAGCCAGAGAGGAATTGGGGCTTGCTCAGCTTGGGGGTGGGGGAGGCAGGCAGGCGGATAGATGGGGATGGAGAAGGGGAGCACCTTTTCGGGCTCCCCCACCTGCCTGCCTGCGCCTTTGTCATCTGTTTTTTTTTTTATAAATATTTTTATTAAGTTTTCTTGTACATAGTCAGAAATGTAATACAGAAAAGAAGAAAAGAAACAAAAAAAGAAAAAGAAGTATATAAAAAAATCCAACCTTCCAAACGTTTTTACCAATCCAACTAGACTTCCCCACATCTTCCAAACCCTGCGTTCCTTACAATAAAAACATCAGCAAATTGTTACCTTGTTTCATACCTTACTGTATCTTTCCAGTATTATGTTTCTAAATCCACAATACTGTTTCTCAATCACTTATGCCTTAAAATAAACATAATAAAATTACTTCAAATTTCCACCTTGTCTTTCTTATAACTTAATTTCCAGTTCATCAAATCTAGTTGCTGAAGCTAAAGTTTCCAAATCATGCACATTCTTAACATTCGTACAGCTTATAGTATTTTGCAAATAGTCCTTAAATTTTTTCCAGTCCTCTTCCATTGTTTCTTCTCCCAAATCTCGGATTCTGCCAGTCATTTCAGCCAATTCCATATAGTCCATCAATTGCGTCTGCCACTCTTCCAGTGTGGGTAGATCTTGTATCTTCCAGTACTTTGCGATAAGAATTCTTGCTGCTGTAGTTGCATACATAAAAAAAGTTCTATCCTTCTTTGACACCTTCTGGCCGACAATGCCCAGGAGGAAGGCCTCTGGTTTCTTGGGAAAGGTGTACTTGAACACCTTTTTTAACTCATTATAGATCATTTCCCAGAAGGCCTTCACTTTTGGACAGGTCCACCAGAGGTGAAAGAATGTCCCTTCAGCCTCCTTACATTTCCAACATTTATTGTCAGACAGATGATATATCTTAGCAAGCTTGACTGGGGTCATGTACCACCTATATATCATTTTCATAATGTTTTCCTTCAAGGCATTACATGCCGTGAATTTTATTCCGGTGGTCCATAACCTTTCCCAGTCTTCAAACATAATGTTATACCCAACATCCTGTGCCCATTTTATAATGGCTGATTTGACTGTCTCATCTTGTGTGTTCCATTTAAGCAGCAAGTTATACATTCTCGAAAGTATCTTAGTTTTTGGTTCTAACAATTCCGTCTCTAATTTCGATTTATCCACCTGGAACCCAACTTTTTTGTCTATTTTGAAAACCTCTTGAATTTGAGCGTAATGTAACCAATCTCGCACCTTATTCTTTAATTTCTCCAAGCTCTGCAGCCTCCAATTGTCTCCAATTTTTTCTATTATTTCCCAATATTTCGGCCAATTGGCCTCCATATTGGGTCTTTTTCGAGCCTTGGCCTCCACTGGTGATAGCCACCTCGGGGTCTTACCCTCTAATAAGTCTTTGTATTTTATCCAGACCATAAATATTGCTCTTCTGACAATATGGTTTTTGAACATTTTATGAATTTTTACCTTGTCGTACCACAAATATGCATGCCAACCAAAAGCATTGTCGAACCCTTCCAGATCTAGGACATCAGTGTTCTCAAGAAGTAGCCAATCCTTCATCCAGCAGAAGGCCGCAGCTTCATAATATAACCTCAGGTGCGCCTTTGTCATCTGCAGGCAATTTCAGCTAGGAATAGATCACAGCTCCCCGGCCAACGCGATGTATTGGCAGCTCAAAAGGTCTAAAACCAGTTCTGTGATCTGAATGCCCTACCAATCTCTGACAACTCACTGATCCATCGCGCAGCACTGGACTCCTTAAAGGAACCTGATCCTGCTGTGCAGTGTGAACTCAGATGGGGCCTCCGTGTGTTGCCTTTTTCTCTTCTTTTTGTATAACTTTTATTAACTTTATAAAACAAGGAAGATAGGAATAATGGAATGATACAAATATGTAGGCTGAGTCTGTATATCTCAAACATAGCAGAATAAATTTGCAGGAGTATCTATAACACATAGTTCATCATTAGTGGTCAGTGTATGAGTCCTGGGTGCATGAATTGCTTTCAACTGAAACAAAAAAAGGGGAAACAGGAGAGCACAGAGAACATTCAACATCGCAGAGCCAAATGCCTAGACTGGAGCTCTTGTGGCCGTTGTGCTTAGATTAAGTGAGTAATAGTCATTTTCCTCTTCTGTTACCAATGAAACAATACAGAGTTGGTCTTATCATGAAAATGGGAGGGGGGGTTCAAAGGGAAGAAAGAGATTTACGTATAAATTTAAATTTAGACCAACCAGATTGAGATAACTTCTGATGGGGAGTGTTCAGGTGAAGATGTTGCTGTTTGTTTCACAGACAAGGCGTGGACGTTGCTGGATCCTGACCAGAGAGCTCAGCATAAAGAATAAGAATAATAATAATAATAATAATAATAATAATAATAATAATAATTATTTATTATTTATACCCCGCCCATCTGGCTGGGCTTCCCCAGCCACTCTGGGCGGCTTCCAAAAAAAAAATATAAAAGAAAAAATACTGTACTACATCAAACATTAAAAGCCTCCCTAAACTGGGCTGCTTTCCGATGTATTCTAAAAGTCTGGTAGTTGTTGTTCTCTTTGACATCTGGTGGGAGGGCATTCCACAGCGAGGGCGCCACTACTGAGAAGGCCCTCTGCCTGGTTCCCTGTAACTTGGCTTCTCGCTGTGAGGGAACCACCAGAAGGCCCTCGGTGCTGGACCTCAGTGTCCGGGCTGAACGATGGGGGTGGAGACGCTCCTTCAGGTATACTGGACCAAGGCCGTTTAGGGATTTAAAGGTCAGCACCAACACTTTGAATTGTGCTCAGAAACGTATTGGGAGCCAATGTAGGTCTTTCAAGACCGGTGTTATGTGGTCTCGGCGGCTGCCCCCAGTCACCAGTCTAGCTGCCCCATTCTGGATTAGTTGTAGTTTCCACGTCACCTTCAGAGGTAGCCCCACGTAGAGCGAATTGCAGTAGTCCAAGCGGGAGATAACCAGAGCATGCACCACTCTGGCGAGGCAGTCCGCGGGCAGATAGGGTCTCAGCCTACGTACCAGATGGAGCTGGTACACAGCTGCCCTGGACACAGATTTGACCTGTGCCTCCATGGACAGCTGTGAGTCCAAAATGACTCCCAGGCTACGCACCTGGTCCTTCAGGGGCAAAGTTACCCCATTCAAGACCAGGGAATCCTCCACACCTGCCCGCCTCCTGTCCCCCAAAAACAGTACTTCTGTCTTGTCAGGGTTCAACCTCAATCTGTTAGCTGTCATCCATCCTGCAACCGCCTCCAGACACTCACACAGGACCTTCACCGCCTTCACTGGTTCTGATTTGAAAGAGAGGTAGAGCTGGGTATCATCTGCATACTGATGAACACCCAGCCCAAATCCCCTGATGATCTCTCCCAGCGGCTTCATGTAGATGTTGAAAAGCATGGGGGAGAGGACAGAACCCTGAGGCACCCCACAAGTGAGAGCCCAGGGGTCTGAACACTCATCCCCCACCACCATTTTCTGAACACGGCCCAGGAGGAAGGAGCGGAACCACTGTATAACAGTGCCCCCAGCTCCCAGCCCCTCAAGACGGTCCAGAAGGATGTTATGGTCGATGGTATCAAACGCCGCTGAGAGATCCAGCAGAACTAGGAAACAGCTCTCACCTTTGTCCCTAGCCCACCGGAGATCATCAACCAATGCGACCAAGGCAGTTTCAGTCCCATGGTGAGGCCTGAATCCCGACTGGAAGGGATCCAAATGGTCCGCTTCTTCCAGGCGTGCCTGGAGTTGTTCAGCAACCACTCGCTCAATCACCTTGCCCAAGAATGGAAGATTTGAGACTGGGCGATAGTTGGCCATCGTGGCCGCATCTAAAGATGGTTTTTTAAGAAGCGGTTCAATAACCGCCTCTTTCAGCGGGTCTGGGAAGGCTCCCTCACAGAGGGAAGCATTCACCACCCCACGAAGCCCATCACCCAGCCCTTCCCGGCTCGCTTTTATAAGCCAGGATGGGCAAGGATCAAGGAGACAGGTGGTTGGTTTCACTCGTCCAAGCAGCCTGTCCACATCCTCGGAGGTAACAGATTGGAATTGATCCCACACAATTTGACTAGACAGGACTTCCGGGTTGGCGCCATTGCCGAATGGCGGACTCCCTCCGAGCTCCGGAGGGAGTCTGCTCGGCAGGGGCTGGGTCCTACCGCGCCGGTGACGCGGGGACCCTTAAAAACCACGGGCACGGAGCCCGTGGACATGGGTGACTCGGCTGGCACCGTTAGCGCCCTCCCGACTCGTGAAGGAGCCTTTTTAAAGGCTACGGAACGGGTGCCGGGGAGTAGCGTGGTGCTGTGAGTCCTCTGCTTTCCCTGCCGAGCGAAGCCGCATGCCATTCGACGGAGAGCGCTGACTTCTTCTATTGAAAATTCGGACTATCAACAACAACCCGTGAGTAATTCGGAAACCGGGTTTAAAAGGAGAAAAAAAGAATTTTTTTCGGATTTGGCACGAGCGGGGGAGATCCAAAAAGGAAGTCAGCCCCCCCCCTATCGTAAACATTCTAAAACAAGGACTGGGTAACCAAGGTCGAGAGAGAAGCGTATTTCTGACAAAAATTAATAATTCCACGATGGGAAATTACAAGAACTGTGCTGGAGGAGAAGAGTGGAGGGTGAGAAGGAAAATGTAACCCCCCCCCCTGGGAACTGGGGCGATTTGCGAGAGAGCCTGGTGAAGAGAGACGGAGACTTTGACGGCTGTCAAAGTAGCTGTCAAAGTTGGAGAATTTAAAGAGGACTTTGCCATGAGGACTTTGCTAGTTAATTTTGTTACAATTTGCTACAATTTGGATATAAACTCGAAAATAAGGAACAACAATCGGACTTTTGGATCAGAGGAAACAAAGTTATCACAATCCCCCTAG